GCCTCTCATGCTAGAAAAGACATTTAATGAGGCTTAGAACTTGGAGAAAATAAGAGAAAATAAGAAGTTCTTACAATAACAAAAGGGACATAAATTGATGCACTTTTAAAAACAGAATTGTTCACACATACTAAAGTATTAAAATATTTATCACTCATTGATCTAATAGTTATCCAGGAATCTATCACAAGGAAAACCCATAAAAGTATGAAAGGTTTAGCTATGAGAATATTAATTGTTTACAATAGTAAAAAAAAAAATGGAAGTACCTTAAAGGACTGATGATTAAACAGTGTAGTATACATATATAATGAATAATAGGTAGCTATTAAAAATAAAACATTAGATGATAGTAATGGTCAATAACATGAAAATATTTGTGCTAAATCATATACTGTACAATCCCACTAAAGTGTGTATGTCCAATTAACAGTGAAAAAGTATGCAATGAGATGTTTTTCTCCTTTTGCCTACCAGTATTTACTAAAAGTTCAATAATTAACATATCATTATTGCTAAATTAACATTAACATGTTCCTTCTTCATTGAAAGCCTCGAATTTCTGAGTATTGTTTCTGTGTATTTGTGCTTCTTTGTCAGAGTTTGTATAACAGTAGATCTAATGTCAATTAAATATTCCAGGGATTTTGTCTTGTTTATCTTCCTGAAACATAGTACAGTGCTTTAAACAAGCCAGCATATTTTCAGATATTTTTTGTTGAATTTAACCTTCTTCAGTTAGCTTTTTACCGTTGATATATTCAGCTTACTTCCCCCTTTAGCTGTAGTAAATTCCCCAGTGGTAGAGGACCAGACCACTCCTCTGTGCTCCACTGTTGATTCTCCCTTTTGTTTAGCTGGAGACCTAGGCAATGATTACAACCTTGAACACGCCACTGCTCTTCTGCTGCTTCAAGGGTGGTATTTTGCTCTTTAATTAGAATAAGCTTCTTGAGCACTGGAACAATGCAGTGTTTTTAGATTCTTTTTCTTCTCTAATGATAACTGTGTTTTACACAGAATGGACAAGGAAGGCAGACACTGTAAAAAAAAAAAAAGTCATGAAATGGATCAGAAAATGTCATTTTCTTTAGGATACTCTTTTACACAGGAGGAATTTAGCACTTGTTCTTTTTTTTTAAATTATTGATTAAGGTATTACATATGTGTCCTTATCCTCCCTCCTTGCCCTCCTTGCCCCCCCATCCCCCTGCCCCTCCCCAACTCATGCCCTCACCCCCCTGGTGTCTGTGTCCATTGGTTATGCTTATATGCATGCATACAAGTCTTTTAGTTGATCTCTACCCCTTACTCCCACCCTACCCAGCACTTGTTCTTTTATCTGTGTGTCCTGTCAAATGGTAAAATACATACATTATATTTTTTCCTCTTTGTCATAATTTCTTATTTACATGCCTCCCACCTCTACCAGGAAAAAAAATGTTTTGGGGTCAGAGCATTTGCTTTACTCATCTCTATATTTTTAGTCTCCAATACCTCAGAATATATAGTGATCATTCAATAAATGAATTCATGAATTACTGTCAATCAATCATTCTAGTACAGGCTCTGCCACTTACCAGCTCTGTAACTTTAAGATGGTCAATTATATTTTTGAAATTATTTTTTTCATTTATATAATGAAAATAATACTATCTGCTTCACAATATTATTAGGAGGATCAAATGATGTGTTATTTTTTTCCACTCCCAAAATTATATTAAATGCTCACTGAATGCACACTAATGATTCCGATTCTAACTTTAACCCTGAAGCCAAACTTTTTATGTGTAAAAGACTTCATTTGCAAAAAGTCTTACTCCGGTTTAGGCAGCTTGTGTGCTCTTTATCCTTTCTTCCCAACCATGCCATCACTGATGGTGATACATTTTCACAGCTTTGTAAAGAGATCACACTCTCATTCCTAATATTCACATATACAGACACCTGGCAGTTTTTCCTTTTTTATTAGATTGTGATATCCTCCAAGAACACATTGTCTTGTTCATAGTTGTGGCCTCATGGTTAAAATTAGTGTCTAACACTAATTAGGTACTTAATATGTTTTTGAATGAAAGAATTGAAAAGAATTAAGGATAAGAACTTTAAAATACCACTCATGCCCTCTCCCAAGGTATGGAATAAATATTGACATCATTTGCAGCACTAGAAATGCTAGGAAGATAATTTACAGGAGTTGGATTATTAAAGCTGATCCAACCAGTTTTCTAGGTTCTATTTTCCTAGTCTTTGTCCTGGAACTAAACTTTGGCAGGTAGGAAGTATGCTCTAGTTATTCACTTTTATCCTGTGGAAGGAAGACCATGGGATTTCAAAATTAATTTTGACAGATATGACAAATGGGGGTTGCCATTTCACACCTAGAGCGTGAATATTTCAATGGCAAAGAGTCAGCAACTGTTAATTAAAAATGGGTATTGTTAATTGGGCCCAGTGTTGTGGTTTTGTCAGCAGCTTCAGACCCTTTCAGACCTATTTCAGTGGATCCTTATGGTCTGATAAGATAAATGTCTTTTCTTTCTGGTGTGGATGATAGCAATTATGACCCAGATTTTTTTCTCCCTAATCACATTAATTCTATAGGTGTATATAATTTTATAAAGTGGAGAAACTCACAGGAACTGAAATTTGGCTCAACAGTCCTCCCTGTATCTCAATTCAAAATATTCGTTAAACAAAACAATATGACAGATAATTATCCACTTCACAATTTTGTACAACATAGAGATCAGCCGTAAATTGGAAGATTCTTTTCACACCAAAAGAGAAACTTTGCTTAAAATGTAAAAATATTTGAGATAATAAGAAAGATTCTTTTTTTAGGTTATTACAATTTATAAATATTTAATCCTCTAATTTATTTTTTATTCTCAAAAAGTATAATTGACACAGTATTTTCATGCGGAAGCAGTATTTCTGAAGACAAAGGAAAAATAATATTGAAAAAATTGCTTTTTGGAACAGAATATTAACTGGGCCAGAATTAACCCAATAATCCCATTAACAGCAATTTAGCAAAACAAACAACAAAAAAAGCCTTAAGTATACAGTTGAATCTTCAATTCTATATTTTGATTATTCCCTTTCTAAGTAGGTTAACTTTAGAGTTATGTAACAATAACCCCAGATCTCTAATGAATATGAGGGAGCTAATCATATTGTGTATTTACAAAGGGATGTTGGGGGCAGGGAGAGGGAGAGCCACATGAAGAGCTAGTTACTCAAGACAACTTGACTCCCATTTTTTTCCACTCTTTGGTGATCCCAAATTAAATTATTTTGGGAGCCAGTGGCCAATATAATACAGAAAGAAATACCCCAAAGCCATTTAGAGTGTGCAATGCTTTGATGACAATATTTTGTGAACAAAGTTCTCTTCTTTATTATTGTTTAAGTATCCTTTAAGCTAAGTAAATATCATTAACGTAGTGAGGCAAACAAATTCAACAGTGCACATGCCCAGAGGCCTTGTCTGGCCCTCAGTCTAAATTAGGTAAAGCCCTCTTAATTCTCTCATAGATCCTTTCAACTTCCTTTACAAAATTTTCACACTTTTAAATTATATACACACACTCATATACACACACATATATATTATCTTTACTTATCCCTTTGCTAACCAGTGCCTAGCATGATATTTGGAACAGAATTGGTGTTCAGTAAACTCTTGTTGAATAAATGTGTGACTAAAACAATGAAGCAACAATTGGAATTCTGGGATATTATTTTAGTCCAAGAAACTTGAAAGCTATAGGTTAGTATCATCACTGTCATTATGTGCTCTAATTATTACCAGAATCATTACAAAGATGGAAACTATGAATGAGATTGCTAGTTTGGGGGATCTGACTTATATTTCAATCAAAGTAGAACTAGATATTCTTAAAATTTATATATACATACTCACTCCAAAACAAAATGAAACAAAGCACTAACAATGAACAAAGAAAATTCTTACAGTAAATTCTAGAATCCATTTTTCTGACAAAACATGGTTCCCCCCACCTCCCCCCCCCCCCGCTTTTCTCTGGCACACAACAAACACAAATTCACAAAAAACACTGTTAATAATTTTATTCTTCTGCCGTTACAAATTAATATCAAATACAAACAAGCCCTTGCAAATGGGGCTTGGGCACATTACAACCTCCTGAATGAATTAAAATAATATTGCTAGTGTGTGACCTAAAATATCCAGTCCCAGAGGAGTGCCTGTTGCTAAGTGCCCACTCAATTTGGCCTCCTGGTGCTCCTAGCAATGATGCCATTTAAAGCCAATGCAAGGGTGACCTTTCTTATCTTGAGATTCATTTGCTAGAAAACCACTAATTCATTTTTATTCTTTACTAACATCTATCAAATAATAAAATCAGTCTACATCAGGCTGGTTTTGTTCAATCTTTTTATCTACAAGGGAAAAATTCGATATCCTGTTATCAATTCCCTGAGCCAAAAGAGGCCCCAAAATAGACTTACTCATAACTGAGACCTAATGACCAAAAATGTGGTGATAAAGGTTGAACTGAAAAGGTAGGATTTCGTAAATCTTTGGTCTATAATCCTCAAAGTAGGGTAGTTTGTTCTGCTGCAGAGTTAATTAGCATACATGTGGAAACAGTTTACGATGCAGTTTAATCCCAAACAAATGTGAAAATAAGCTCACATTGTTTTGTAGAATGATTTACATTCATTATCATCTACTTTAAAAAATGAATAGGTTAAAATATCATAAGTTCTACCAGAATATCAAAATAAAGTATTTTCCTATTTGTTCTTTTGAAAATTATGTATTTCCAGACAAGTTCATATTTCTTCAAATCAAAATAAAGTAGAAGCTTTTGTCTATATCTATGGTGCCCAAACTTCATCCAGATACAGAGAGATTACTGAATGACATCGTATTCATGACGTCAACAGATTTAATTGACTGTACATCATTTTAAAAACAAGCTTGTTCCACTAGTTTCTATTTAAAAAAAACATTTTGGAACTTCATTAAATAAGATCTCTATAAAAGATTCAGGATGGAACTAGCTTTAATACTCCTATCATTTGATTTTGAAATTAACAAGGCTTATATTTTAATATGGCTTATAAAATATCTCTATTTGTTTGTAATTATGGTTTTTAGAGGACACTATTTGACGAAAGATATAGATATACCCCATAGTTACAATGATGAATTATATTATAATGAATCATATTTAGTGCTCATAGAAATCTAACATTAAAGTGAATATACCAATATACCATAGGTTGAGTTGACTGCTTCAGATTTCTCTAAAATAGTCTAATTAGCCCTAACCGGTTTGGCTCAGTGGATAGAGCCTCGGCCTGCAGACTGAAAGGTCTCAAGTTTGATTCCAGTCAAGGGCATGTACCTTGGTTGCAGGCACAACCCCAGTAGGAGGTGTGCAGGAGGCAACTGATCGATGTTTGATGTTTCTCTCTCATAGATGTTTCTAACTCTATCTTTCCCCCTTCATCTCTGTAAAAAATAAATAAAATATATATTTTTAAAAATAATCTAATTAATGTGCTTAGAAGAAAGGTGGAGTCTTCTCACTCCTGGTCTGCTTGAACTCAACGGGGATGATGTAATATTTATCTAGGGATACACTATTTGTAAAGCATTTGATGTTACCTATGCTTCAAATATAAGCCTTTACTCAATCAATAACTCTTAGGTTACTTATCATACGGCAGGCATAGGACTAAAGCCTTTAATGAAATGGTGAGTAAGTAGGTTTGTGTTCCTGTTCTTCAGAGGGACAAAGACGCCTGGGGGAAATAGTTATGTAGTATGGAAATTACTAACTATAGGATAAATCCTATATAATAAAAGCTTAGTAACCAAAACGCTGGAACGACCAGAATGACCAGGGACCAGAACACTGCGGCTCCTCACCCAGGCTGGCCCTGCCCCCCAGCAGGGACCCTCACCCCAATTGGGGGTGTGGCCAGCCTGCAAACCGCCCATGGCCCCTGGCCCCAGCCAGCCCCCCCAGTGGGGACCCCCA